AGGAGGCAATTACAATTTGGTGAAGAAAGATTCAGTGGCCGATTTAGGAAACATCCATTCAGACCAACTCATTAACGGCGGGCTTCGCTTCATTACCCAGCTCGTAGAGCTGCCCGTCCACGTTGACGAAGGTGATGAAATGGAAGTTCACGTTATCTTCCGGCGGCTGAAAGGGGGTTTGAGAAACTTGAGCACTTCTAAGCACGAGATAAAAGCTGAGAGTCGGAGCGCGGAGGGGCGGCTACCTGACACTGTCCTTCCGCCGCCACCTCGTCGTGGGTCGTATGGATGGCCTGAAGGAAACAGAGGCAGCGGATTATAGGCTGGACACAAGCCAATCACCAACAAAAAAAATACAGATACAGACATAGGCAGCCTATCGATGCCCCCTTGTGGCAACTGGTGTCTCCCACAGGGAGAAAAATAAATGAGCCAATCAGGAGACCGGCCAGTAAGTGTCCCCTAAATAAAGCTTTCTAGGCGGCACAGAAACCAAGGAACTGACAAACTGTGCAATATCGGACCACACCCTTCAGTTACAGCAACCAATTAAAATCTGAGCTATGTCACCATGTTCTAGAACGATCTATACATTTGAAGAGGCCATCTCATCTTCACTGGATAGTACTACTACAGAAAGCAGTCATTTGAGTGATTATGGGGGGGGGGGGGAAGCCTGATTAAAAGCTTTTAGCCAGCATGGTTTTAATAAATGACTCTTCCCTCATTTAAAAAGGTCTGAAGTAAGCTTGTAATATTGCACAATCCATTACAGCACAGACTGCCCGTCTAAAGCTTAAAAACACATTTTAAAAGGAAGCCAAAAAAAAGGAGCTATGTTACCGTGTTAGCCTCGAGCTGCTTGGCACGGTCTTCCGCAGACATGTCAGCAGTCTCATCTAGAAATTTCTTCAGGACAGAGTCCCCCGCTGCAGGAGAGATGACTGGTCACGTGTGCCACCCCCCAAAAGCCAAGACCAGACCATTCAATCACTCTCGAGAGATCAATACGTACACCCCAGCGCAGCCGCAAATAGATTTAGCTTTGGCTAGATTCCAGTCTCACCCGACATAACCTGGTCAGCCATTTTCAGGTCAGACCGGCCACCATACATACCAAACTCCATCTTGTCCTTGTTGTTCGCCACAGCATGCAGCAGCCCCACCGTGCCACAAGAGTTGCCGATCGTCTGCTTGATGAAGTACACGCTGGAGTTCCCCTTGCATTTACCTTCCAGGTCCTCAGCCTGCTTCTTTCGAAAAGACTCATGCTAACGGAAAAAAAAGCATTGAATTTACAGCAAAAATCCAGTAAATATTGCAAGTCAATGCATTCTTTAAAAGTGATGGAGTTCCTGCAGTTCGATAAACTAAAATGACAGTGCACAATGTAGGTTAACCCACTTCACCGTCATTAGCGCATTAACAGCATCATTCACAAATGTATAGCAGCATAACAAGCAAGCATTAAAGAACCCCTATTAAAATATAAGCTGCAAAAAAGTAGAGTCACGTCATCAGAACTAAAGACCAGAAAGGAGGATGACATGCCAATAAAAGCAATGAACCATTTCGTTGCCGTTAATAAGACTTTGGTCAGCTGGCTGACGTGAGATTTTCCAATTTCATACAAGTCTACACAGGCATAACAGTTTTATTACCTTGTAAATAATCGGCAGGGTTGGCAAACTACCCCAACGCTTTTGATGTCGCTAGTTTTAGGTTTATGATGAAGTAATACAGATTTGCCGTAAGATTTTTTGCGCGTCACACCCGATGCATGACAGTTGACGACCCTGCGGATAAACCGTTTGGGATGGGACAGGCCAGACTGATCCTCACCCCGGCTCACCCCCCCCCCCCGTGAATCCGCCGTCTGGGTGCAGCGGCCAGCGCCCTACCTGTTGTGTTAACGGGAAGAGCAGCATTACCGCGCAGGCCGGCGTGGGTACCGAGGATAGGGAGTCATCTTCCAGCCCCAGGACGTCAACGAAATGCCAGCCGGCACCGACGCCCAGCTTACCGAACACCTGCAATCGGTAGAGGGGGGCGACGCGTTAACACAGCAGCGGAAGATAAGAAAAGCCTGCAAAAATGCACAAATTACAAAATCGCAAATCCTTAGGTGGGATGAGTCGCTAGCTTGCACGCATAGGCCTACGGCAATTCTAAATGCACAGATAACACTTATTCTGGAGTTAACCAAGTAACCACGTCATAAATGTCCAGGTTAATTAGAGGTTTTTCGGGTAGTTATGGAGGACCACGCCCTTGGATCACAGGTTACGCCGGACATCACTAGAAGCGCGCAGTAGCGGCGGTCTCCTTATACCGCCCCTGATCGGAGGTGACTCAGCAGCTACGTACTTTGTTCAGCATCTGAAAAAAAAGAAAAGTCAATCAAAATAAAAACGCTTTTTTAAAAACAACATGCAACGAATAACAACATCTGAGCCCAATTCGGTTGCTTTGTTGAGTCAAAGTGAGCGCGCCGCACCTCCGGGTTAATTTCCATGGTCTTCCACGCCATTGCTAACGGTGCAGGTTTGGACGCTGATTTAATGTTTCACAGCCGCTTCCAGGCTCTTCTGCCGCCTTTACAAACACCTGAACGAGCACTTTGAGATGAACGGGGAGCGCGAGCAAGCTGCTAATATACCAGCGGTCACATTCCATTCGTGCAGGAAAGAGGGGGACCCAAAGCAAAAAGTCATCATTCGGACTGACTGCTGCTGTCTAATGTGCATTTACAATATATCTCTATTGTAGGCGGCAGAATAACGCGCGATATTATGTTTTGCTGTCAGTATCCCGAAACACTCAGAAAAATAATTATTTTGTGTATCCAAATAATCGCACAGTCCATTGTCGTATGATTCTCATGGAAGTTGCTGGCAACTACTCGAATCGCGGAGGAAAATTGGCGATAGGAGAACACTTTCATTAACGAAATAAAAGTCTTGGTGTTTGATCAGTATAGTTTTATGAAAATGTCCCAGCAACGCAATATTTTTGTAACAATAAGAGGATAAGAGGGGTGTCAGGTAGTGATACTAAAAGCTGCGATTTACACGATTTATAAAATGCACCGATGAAGCAGACAGACTGGTTTTACGTAACGGTAATACAGTACATGTTACAGCAAACCACCAAATACTTGACAGGGAGAGACATTTCCCATGGTATGATACTTTCTATTGCACGAGGGAAAACTTATGATGCGTGGGGCTAATGCAACAATCTCTTCAATACACACACACACACACACATATATATAATATCACAATATGCAGAGAAATATATATATATATATTGTGACATTGTGGAGCGGCACTGACGCGTGATAAAGGCGCGACGCAGCGTGACTCCACATTTCCCCACTGTCCATAACCCCCACTGCCACGGCTGCTCTTGCTGGGTGCTTAACTTGAAATTATGTCATAGCCTAGATCGGTAGTTAACAAGATGAACGCTCCAATTTATTGGGTGATGGTTAATCACCACCACTGCTATACAGCCTAATCTGTTTGTAATAGCCATTAACAAAAACTTACTGCAGTGATATTGGCTAATGTTCACGCTTCCTTTAATCAGCCTTATTGACGATGCTACGCATGTGCCAAATATACTCGATACATTAAATGTCTGTTCTCGTTGTATTTATAAACAAAGGTGTCGCATAGACAACTGACACACGAATGTACTGCAAATCCTTATTCAATGGTCTGCTACCGAATGAAGCAGTCAACATTTTTCAACTAAAACTTCTAGAGATTTCTTTAGTGGCATGACACTATGTCACACATGCGGGTTTACTGTACTTGCGTTGGCCTGTAGATATATCAGTTATAAAAGGGCGTACGTCTCACATAAATACTAACTTAACTCAGTAGTAAGCCGGTGCTTAATGTGTTCTGCGGCAGCCAGACCGACCATTACTTGCAAAGAAACGTGCAGACTTTACATTCCTCTTCTAAATGTTTTTCGTAATGTTTTCTTTCTGTATTCACATTCCTTTCCATTATATAATGGTAGATTCGGGTTACTACTGTAAACCTGGTTATCTTAAATACATTACACTGATACCTAGTTGACTCCTTGTCTCCATGTTTGTAATGTGCTATATTTGCCTCACTTGTACACCATGAACTTGCTTTGGACAAAAGCGACCGCTAAATATATAAATTGCAAATGGTGTTAGAGGGTACATTTGCAAAATTAAGGCTAGCAGTACAAATTAAGGTAGCTGTCAAACAAAGAACAAGAAGTAGCCTATCTGCTATAAATATCGGGCTTCAAAACTGTTTTCATATATTTTTTTTTTACTGAGAAAAGATTATATGATAAATAAATGGCGCAATTTATATTTCGCTTTATTTATCGTGCGTGTTTCTAAACTTAGGTGTTTGACAAACTACATTTCCTCATCTGTTTTCATCTGAACCTATTGCTAAAGTTCACTGCTATTTTCTTCTAAAACTTGAAGCAACAGCGTTTGGGAAATATCACGTGATCCACCTCAAACATGCCCTGTGTCTCACAACCCAGGGTGCTGTTGTTTGTACAATCACTGGGTGTCACTGTAGAGTAGTAATTTTGAATAGCCATGGATATTCAAATCACGGTCTTCAACATTTGAGCCCTGCTGATTTGCTAGTCTTACTTTACCTGTGAGCCAGGTGTGAAGCCTCTATGGCCAATGAGAATAGTTATTATTAAACTAACTACCCGTGAGAACTGAAAAGCCTGGATTTGGAATCGAGGGCTTAAAGAGCCCGGTCGTAAGCATTATTCTTCATATCCCAGTTGGGACTGGGGCGTGGATGTCCCCAGTCTAATGCAAAGGAAGTGGACGGGTGAAAGCTTTGGGAAGGCTCTGTGGATCTTGGAAATTGGGGAAAAGTAACTACACTCTGAAAAAAAGGTAAAATTCCATACCTTTGCTGCCAATTGTACTCTAAGCTGTAGGTAATTTTACCTTTTAATGTACAGAAATGGACCCTGAGGAACATTTTCATACCATTGATGGTACATTAATGCTGTCTGTACCTTTGGGATGCTACTCATAGTCCATTTGACATAGTCACTCATAGTCCTTGTGACATAGTCACAAGGGTACAGCCCCAGTGACAAGCAAAAGGGAGATTTTTACCCTTTTTTTCTGAAAGTGTAGAATTTCAGGAATGCACTGGATTTGTGCTCATGTCTGGTTAGTTCAGGATTCAAGTCTCCCAGTAACAGAGTATCAGCCTTGGGCCCTTGAGCAAGGCCCTTAATCTCAATGGCTCCTGACTGTTTTTCACATGGATGTTGTTTCAGAGTAAATGTGAGTAAATGAACGTTCTTCCCAAAGTATATGGAATCAAACGCATTGGGAGCCCATGCTGATCATCCTGATCAGGTTCAGCGTCCTCAGGAAGGCGAGGGAGAGCAGATCTGCCCCAAACTGATGAGTTTGCATAACAGTTTTTGCACCAAACCATTATTGGTGTATTCTGACAATCCATTCTGTGATTGGTTAAATGTTACATCATTACAGAGTTCAGGACAGTCATGTACATTTCCACAGCAGAAATAAATTTTCCTCTTATGCAACAATTCAGTGTCGATCATACAGTTCTCATCACTTTCCAGTGTTTCAGGTAAATGTGTTACACTGGCACCTAAAGTTATTAGCGTGAATAAAAGTGCTTACTTGTCAGTCTGTACACTATAGCTAGATATTATATAAACTGTGCATTTAAGATTCAGTACGTTTTGGTTGAAGCCCAAGGAATTGACTGATTACTTTACATAGACTAAGAATTCTAAATCCAGTCGGGCAATAATTCTTAATCTTAAGATAGCAATTACTAAGCCATTTTTTAAATAGACAAGCACCTGCTGAACACTATGGTGAAAATACGGTGTTCCTGTGCACTGCTGTATTTCCAAAACCCAACAGCAGGTGACGCAAGTGTATATTCGAAGCTGTACAGAAGCAAGCCTACCTCCCGTGTGCCATTTTCCTTTTAAAAACAAACAAGACACTTCCGATTGGGCGTCTTAGGTAAATCGCTGCTGTTACAAATTCTTTACTGAATTCTTAATAGACTTTAATCCAAAACAAGATCGTGTGATAAAACCACCAGGGAGAAAGAACACAGATCCAGCAGCAGCTGTAGTTATATACGTAAATTATTAATATGAAATCAATTGGTTTTTATTAAAATCCCTATCATGCTTCCTTATTATTCTTTTGTAATTTGACTGTATGTTTTTTTGCGTGGCTCTATAATATATTCTACCTTATTGTGCTCTTACTCTGTAGATCAGTACAGACTAATTTTTAAGTAAGGTGTTTTTTTGTAGAACATCTGCTATCTCTGTGTAAGTATGGACATCTCAATGCATAAACACAGTGCCGATGAAATATAACGTGCAAATTAAACTGTATCATAACCTCCTGAGACCCAAGGAAAAGGTGTCCTTCAATTTTAGGTTATTTGTCTTTGGAGGAAATTACATATTACAATTTAGATTTTTTCAAATTTATTTTTAATTTCACAGCATGTCCTCTTTAGTGTACAACAGGAATAAATACGTTTCCTTACATCAGTGAAAAGATAGATGCAAAAACAAAATGTCCACTACAATGGATATAAATGAATGGGCGGGGTCTCAGGAGAATATGACTGCTTTAATTTGGTTTGTTATAGCTGTTGGGCTCATCAAGCAAGGTGCTGAAAATGTGAGTGAGGGTGTTTAGATGTCAGCCACTAATGCTGGGTTATGGGACCCCACCATTGGCCTCGTATCTCTACTTACCGATACTCGTTTTTTTATTATTGGTGTCAGAAATCCAACGTACATAGCAGGTTACATGGGATTACATGGAGCGACTGATCAAAACTGTCAAGGACAACGATAAATCGTGTATGTCAGTGAAACAGAAATTCCCGTGCCCTTGTTTGTGCTGTGAGACCTTGTGTGGAACACAAGAGCATCTGCTGGCTACAGCGGTGGGTAGTTCAGGTCCAGAAAATAAAAATCTAGACCAAGATTTTGTTTCAACCAATCAGTTGAGTACTCTGTGTCTGTGACTCTTTATACTCAACTGGTTGGTTCAAACAAAACCTAGATTTGGATTTTTACTTTCTGGATCTGAACTATCCATCTCTGGTTGACTATAAGGCTCACTGCATGTCTCCCGCCCGCTCCTGATCAGCGAGTTCAGTGTACTTTCCACTGACTGTTCCTTGTCTGCTAATGATGCCCCAGGATACTTCTGAGAATCAAGCCACTGTTGTCATGGGGAGGAAGCACAGGCTGCAGCCGACAAGCCCCTCCCACAGGCCAAATACCCCAGATAGAATGTTCCGCCAACCACCTGCCCAAAACTCAAACCCTCCGTGACAGGGTAAAACGCACCGAGAGTGGAGGCAAAATTTACACCCCGACCTTGTACATATGTGGTCACCACGCCACCCACAGCTATATAAATACTGCCTATACATATTCCTCACATAAATCCAGAGCTGGACTTCACCAGTGCCTCAGGCTACTTTATGCAAGTCTCTGAGATATTTTTCCCTGTGGAGCAGCAGCGCGGTGAAACCTTGGGTTGTCTGGCCGCTATCTGCCGACATAACTTACCCAAAGTCACAAGACTGTCCCGGTTCTGAAAGCTGCTTCGCTTATCTCTGTACGGTCACCTGTGTCTGGCTGACGCGATTCACTTCGTACCGAACGCAGCCCGGCCGTAATCTTTCAGTCGATTTTCGGTCCTGCAGCTGTATCCGTAACCAGCATAACATTTCCAGTGACAGAAGGACCTTCCGTGGGGTTTCAGGGAATGTCGAGAGAATTTAAAAATTATGCTCCACATGGGAAATTCAAAATACAATATACTCTTCTGTTTAATTTGATACATTTGATCAAAATAAAGTTTATGTGTCGTTTCAATTTGAGAACCTATATAGGACACGCGGGTACAGAAAATGGTTGAATGGGTGGAATATTCTTGCAGTGTTGTTTGAGAACACAAATAATGCCATTTTCACTTTTAGGCCTACAACAAGAACTTTGTACAACTTTAATGACATGAACCGTCTAGAGGTGAGTTACAAATCGAAATTTGTTTTTTTTTTAAGCAAATAAAACACAAATATCCGAGTGACGTATTTTTTAGGCGTTATGATTTGTCTCTGTGATGTTTCATAAGCCTGAATTCATTCGGAGCAGAGGCATATCCGCAGTGACCCAGTTGAAGCGCCCAAATCCGGGGAAGTGTTTCCTGTAGCTGGCGCTGTGATTGGAGCGTTCAGTTCCGGAGCTCGTGCAGGGGGGTGGTGGCGGCGCTCACATCTGGGGGAGGGAGACGGAGAGCAAGCAGACGGAGCGGCGCATGGTGAAGCCCGCACGGGAGGTGAGTGACACGGCGTCCCTGCGACTCTGCGCTCCCGGAGAGGTTCGGGTTCTGCTGCGCTGGGTCCGCTTTGCGCATATTTGGGCGCAATTGCCCATGATTTGCGATGTTTTAAAATATTTTTTATTTTTTGCAAAGATGTGCGGTATATAGCGGAGGAGGTTGCGGAGGACGGAGCCTCTCTGTCCCGTTTTCTCTAAACAGCAGCGACCGAATTCGTGCCGTACGGACTGAGATGGGGAATAATCGGTGGTCGATCCGCATGAGCCGTGGCCGGTGCGCAGCGCTTCGTAAACGGCAGGCAGCGCCTGCGGGTCACCTTAACCTGGGACAGTGAGCTTATCCGGGGGGGGGGGGGTGCCAGGGACACCGCATCGTCGCCCTTTAAATGTGAAATATGTAGGGTGTTTTGCGGGCCGTCCTAGCGGGTCGCTGACAGACTGGGGAGATCCGTCTTGGTGGCCGAAAGGTGCGATTTTTGCGGGGGGAGCAGCCCCGTCCGCTGCCATTGCGGGGAGGCGCTGCAGTGGTACGAGAAGCCTCGGTGCGCTGCGACACCCGCGTTTCGCATCGCCCCATGTCTGCAAAATATTACTTTAAAAATAAATTTAGATACTAATAGTCAGTGTCGGTCCTTGCCGATGGGGCGCCCTAGGCGAGAATCACCGCCGGCGCCCGCCGTCTGAGGCAAAGTGAAATTCTCTGGCAAGTCGGCGCCCCTCAGAAGTTTGCGCCCTAGGCGACGCCTATGTCGCCTATAGGATTGACCTGCCCTGCTAATGGTGGTTTAAGGTGCTCGGTTAACAAAGGAGTGGCTTTTACTGAAACGTGCCCAGCGCAGTGTGGTGCTTGTCATTTGGAGGTGAATGTTTTCTTTCTCCCTCGTTTTGTTGTGTGTGATTACTTAAGATTCCCAATGCCCTCAGTCCTCTTGTTAGTATGTTAATGTGTGTAAAGCTGTTTACATAAGCTCATGCTACACTTCGTAGCTACGCATTCAGGGTTGAATTGTTTCACCATATTCCAAGGGGTTATAATGACCCATCATCACAGAAGAATGGCTTATTTTTATAACTAAAGTCGAACATTCTGATTATTTCGCAATTATTATTAATTATTGTTTTTTTTTGTTTATCTCCAGCAGTATTCTGTTCGGTGTGTGACTTTTTGTCTGTGGTCAGGCGGTTTTCATTTGCCTAGATGATGAATTAGTGGGTCAGACAATGGAGTCGTACAGGACCGCAGGGCCTGGATGTATAGTGCCCTATAATTAAAATTCTGACTTATAATTAATGACTCATTGTGACTGCACCATGATAAGCAATCTGATGGATCTTCGGGCTAGATTGTCTCGCATATGAGAACTGCAGAATCAGATTTAAATTTTTAATTTTTTTAATTTCTTTTTTTGTCGGGGGTATTCTTAAATAGAAAAATGTAAAAAATCCTTAGAATTGACTGAGCGATGATGTCCAAGGAGGGACAGCTCATCTTACTTTTCTTCTGTGGGTTCGAAACTATTGCTGTAAAAAGATTATAGGTTCTAAACCTTTTCTGGGTAAGTGGGATATTTGCAATTTTGCAGTAATTAGTGCAGTAACTTTTTGAGGTATGCGATAGAATTTTGTAAACACTTCATAGGTCCTGCAATAGGCCCTGATTAAATATGGGGTCGCTGGCCTTAATGACGCAGCATCTGGCTAACCCTGTGCTTTGCGACCGTGCTGTGTCTTTGCCGGATAGTGCTGTGTCTTTGCCGGACCATCTCGCTCCCTGCAGGGAGAGGGTGTGGGTTAGTGGCTGTCTGTGCTTCTGGGGCTCCGTCACAGGCTCCCGCTGCAGCGATTAGCAGGCGACGGAGCACTGGTCTCGGGGCGGCCTGGCCCATACGTCCAGGTGCACGGTCACCCCAGGGGCTACGGGGCGAAGCCACATGTGTGGGCAGAACCGGAAATCGCCTAGACGTGAAATGTCCCTGGGAAGAAAAGCTCTTTTTTTCCAGTCCCTTATCAGTCGGTTGCTAATGCCTTGCTGGGGCTGGGATTCAAAGCCCCCCCCCCACCCCAGAGCTGAAACAAGCAAAACAATGGCTTCCATTGTAAAAGCTACTGTAATAATCCTTACGTTGAGTTCTATAGGTCTCAGAAGGTTCTCCCTCCACATGAAGCGCATGTCGTCATGTGGAAACATTTCGGTGTGTATTGCCGGGCAGCTGGTTCTCTCCGAGCGTCTGCTCATAGACGCGCTGCAGGAAAACCTATTTGGACTGAACCCTGGAGGCGTGCTGGGCTTATTCTCTAAAGCTGGGGTTGGGGTTACAGCTGAACCAGGGCGGCAAAGGTGGATCTCTTCTTCCCCTGCGAGGGTGGGGTTCTGGATCGGTTTGGCAGCTGAAATGGGCTTAAGTGGGCTTGGCCCGTATCTCTGCCCGTCCCCGTGCGGCAGAGCTGGAGGCGAGGTGGCTGCGGAGACGGTTCTGCGGGTCCGGAGCCAGGCAGCGTTCTCATGGCTGCAGGTCAGGACAGTAAAAGAAAGGAAGGTGGAACCACAGCAGAGTAGCACTGGCTGACACATTTAGAAAGAAATGACGTCATTCATAAGGGGCTGCCTTTCTTCATAGCGCATTCCAGGGGCTTGAAGCGGATCAGTTGCCGGGGGCATGTTGGTGCATGGGGGCGGGGGTGGGGTTAGGTGGGGGGCGGGGCTGTGACCTCACACCTTTATTTTTATAGATTAGAATCACAACTCTGCTATGCGCCCGTGCATCCGCATATTCTCACACTGGTGAATCGATGCCTCTAAATCCCCTGTGTGAGCGCGTGTCCTGTGAAGGACTGCCATTTCGTCCACGGTGTCCCCTGCCCTGTGCTGCCTAGGATAGGCTCCCGGCTTTCAGTGACCCTGTACCGGATTTGCGGTTATGAAATACAGAAGGACCAATCGTCAGCCTCCTTGCATTCAAGTGTTAATGATATGCGTTGATGAGTCTTGGACTTTAAAATCCCTTTAAATAACCAGAAGGGAGCGTCACCTAGCAACAGAATCAAACAATTCAGGACCAGAAAAGCTAAGCTTTAATTTCCCCCAATTGCCCCTCGGTTCCTGTGCGTCTGACCCTTCCTGTCTGCTCCTCAATGGTACAATGATGTGTGGATTGTTACCCCGGGACCGACAATCGTGACACATTTGCCCAGGACGAGGTCAAAGTCAGGACCCCTTTTTTTTTAGCGGTGGGTGTGAAAGAGATGCATCACGGCATTTGTGCTGCTGGTGGGCACGTGCATACCAGGCAAAACCACTAGCGCAGAGTTAGAAAAGATCTTCATTGTCTTCCTACCCCTGCCGTCGTGTCACTGTGTCGTGGGTGGAGTTGCAAGTCTTTTTCTACACGACTCTTACATGTATATCTAGGTTGCCGATAGTCTGTGCGGCTTGATGCTGAAATGCAGCACTGACTGAAATGCATACCACGCCAGAGAAGCGGCGTACTAATTAAACTGCCAGGAAGTGAGCCTCAAACCCAAATTTATCGATGGCCGGCAGTCTCGTTAAGGTTCTCTGTAGAATGTGTGCTGCATCGATTTGTTTTGAGGTTATTATTCTTGCTTCGGTTCAGGTAATTTGAGACAAAGCTGCAGTTTTTTTCATTTCAAAGGGTTACAGGGTGCGTAATCGGCGTTAAGGCGACACCACGGTTGTGTGCTTGTCTCAGCCGCTCGTGTTACAGTAAATACCAGATAATAGCGTCTGGAGCTGGGCGCGATGGTGAAATCCAAAACGCACGACCGTGCGTTCGGTCTGCGATCTCTTCCCATCAGAAGGAATCTGCGTATCGTGTGCGAGGCAATCCTGAGCGATGCTGGCGGCCAGGACCTTGCAGAAGTCAGTCGTTGCGCCGGAGCCGCCAAGGCTGGCTATAGGGGTGTGACTTCAACAATTACTGCTTTTCACGAGACGCGGGTGTGGGGTGCGGCTCAGCCGGTTAAGGTGCTGGGCCTGTGATCGGAAGGCTGTCGGTTCAGATCCCAGGCTCAGCAGACTAATTGAATGCAACCCCCCAGTTGCTCCAGACACTAGCTGACCCTTTTGTATAAAAGCAAAAATAAATGTAATGTGATGAAGTTACATGTTTTGGGGACGTTCTGGAATGTTCAGGGGCAAGTGTGGGAATGCTCAGGGGGGGTGGTTGTTAAGGTTTCAGATGTATCAGAAGTGTTTTAATTGCTTTTAGTTGCCCCACCCATTAGTCCTGACCCCACTGCTACTGGGAGGTCATGTAAAGGTCCTCTCAACCCCCCCATGTTGACACAGCGTCTTTGTCCACTCCCTGGCCACACAGGAGGGGGGTTGTTGAGCGTGGTTCCTATTGTTGGCCACCCTGGAGCTCTAACGGGCCCGGTTCGGCCCCCCCGGGCCGCTTTCGCTTTGCCCGATCCTGCGTTGGTCTCCTCGACATGCTTCAGCCACGCCTCCCTTTGGCCATTTTGGATGCAATGTAACTGAACCGTACCGGCGACTTCGCCTTACTGGGCCTCCTACTTCCTGAGGGGCGTGTGCGAGTGGGGAAGGGCGGGGTTAGGGGCGGGGTTAGGGGCGGGGTTATGGGTAAGAGTGTAAGGAGTGTGAGGATGCTGTGTATCCCAGGAGGAGTGTTATCTTGCACTAGTGGGTCCGTCCCCATCTCCTGCATGGAAATAGCTTTTGCGTGATGATGTCATGAGGGAGGGGGTTTGTTGAGCCCCAGCCGAGGGAGTCTGCCGGCTCGGGCTCAGTTAGGTTAAGGATTATAGGTGGGGCCATAGTCAGGGTTAGGGTTAGGGTTAGGGTTAGGGTCAGTTTGGGTGCGAAGCAAGAACAATGGGGCAGAAAAGCGAGATGTCAGCACAAGTGAAGGTGAGCCCCGCCCAAAAGCATGACCCCCCCCCGCCCAAAAGCATGACCCCCCCCGCCCAAAAGCTGACTCCTTCAGCACCTCCTCTGCGCTTCACACGTTGTCAGCT